GGTGACAGGCTGGGGGACAGGTGGAATTCACCTTGTCTGTGAGAATTGACCTATGTGTCACTTGCCCAGTGACTGAGCCACAACTCTGTGAGCAGAACTGGATCCTCCTCTGTCCAGCAAGCCTCTGGAACATTCTCTTCTCACTGCTCTGTGCTGGTCCCTAGGGTTAAGGTGATAATAGTCAGTTGCCACATGGGGCAGGCACACATGTCAGCAGTGCACATGGAACAGAATGGTCCAGGAAAGAGTGGTAGGACCTGTAGGCTAAAGTAGGCCCAAGAGACCTCTAACTGAGCCAGGGTTCAGGGGAGGCTCTCTGGAGACTACCAGAATTAGGAGGAGTAATCCAGATGGGACAGAGGGAAGGCTTGATTAGCAGGGCAGGTCCTGATAAGTGCACCCTGGCTTTAGTGGGATTTTGATCAGAGGTTGGCTGACAGCGTGGAGGCGAGGGAGAAGAGACCAGGCCAGGGTGGCAGGAGGCATGACTTGAAGAGGGCCTTAGAAGCAGGCAGTGTTAAGCTGGGCTTGTGGGGCCTGGAAGATTCCCCACTGCAGAAAGGCAGGAGCCACTGGCTGCCATTATTAGAGGCAGACAAGGTGGCCTTGGTCACTGTCTTAGATCATCTGGTTATTCAAACATGGAGGTAATGAGATGACCCTGTTGGGGACACACAGAGTGAATAGAAGGAATTTTCCAGCTATGGACAGGCTAAAGGTAATGAGATGGCCCCTATTGGGGACACACAGAGTGAATAGAAGGAATTTTCCAGCTATGGACAGGCTAAACATTTCCTGGAGGCCAGGAGAAGCCCAGAGGCAGAATCACTGAGTTATGGATCCAGGTGGGACACCACTTTCACTGCTCTCTTTTCAGATGGAGCTACTGTCTCCATTCTTAGGTGAAGTGATTTAAGTGGCCAGCAGACAAGGGTTGGGGAGCTCTGGCCGTGCTCTGGATTCACCTCCTGAGCCTTGGCCCTTGCAGGGAGATGGCCTCCTCCACCCCAGCCTAGCAGTTCACAGAGCCCCCAATCTCCAAAGCAAAGCCTGTCACCCCCTTTTACACATTCAGAGACTAAGGTCCAGAGAAGAGCCTGCAGTGGCCCTGCTGCAGAGCAAATCATTGGCCAGGGCAAAATGAGGCCACGCTTCCACCTATGCTGTAATTGCCTCCTCCCAGTTGGGAGGCAGGGGCAGATGTGACCATGGAGAACTTAATGTTGGGGGTTGCATGGGTGAGCTCTGGCTTCCTGGCTGTGGCTTCTGTTTCCATCTTCTCTGGAAGACTGAGTGTATATGTGGGGGCCAAGACTGTACTTGTATTGGTAGCCGACCTTAGGTATGCGTCTCCCAGGTGGTACTGGTTTTGAAGATATGAAGAGGTCATGGAGAGAAGCTGAGGCTTGGCACTGTGTGGCAGGGCTGGAATCCCTGAAGAGAGGCCATTAGTGAAGGCACAGCTTCAGTTGCAGTCAAAGCCCCAGGACTGAAGGGGCCATGGAGAGAAGTTGAGGCTTGGCACCATTTGGCAGGGTTAGAGTCCCTGAGGAGAGTCCAGGGGAAGCTATTGGTGAAGATGCAGCCAGGCTACAGGGGCAACCCAGCATTTTGGAGCTGCCAGGGCCATGGGATTATCACCAAGGGCAACATCCATTGTGGAATGGAGCTAGGCTGGGCCTGGGGGACAAGCCGTGTGAACTGTGGATAGCAGACCTGGAAAAGGGCTGCTGCCAAGGCCCTTTAGTGCCCAGAGGAGAGTGGGTGAAGTCCTGACACTGGATGCTGAGTTATTTACACTGATGGAGTTTGGATTGATTTGATTTGATTGTGACTGTGCCCTGATTATTCCCTCTTGGAGTAATTATTCCTACCCTGACTTTCTTTGATGATGGACTGTGTGACCTGAGAGTTATAAGCTGGAATAAACCTTTCTTCCCCAAGTTGCTTTTGGTCATGTTGTTTTATCACAGCAACAGAGACCCCAACAAAGACACCTGCACTTAGAGGTTGGCATCTGCTGAATCAATCTCAAGCCCTGTCTCCAGGAAGCAGCCTTGAGCCCTGGCTAAATACCCATTGCTACTCTCTCCTCCCTCCATCATGGCCTCTCTCACACATCCCCTCACTTTGAAGAGCCAGACAGGAAGTATTTGGGGCTCTGCAGGCTATAAGGCCTTGTAGCAGCCACTTGCCCTACAGTTCTAGTTAAAGCAGCCACAGACTGTACAGAGGGACCAAGCGTAGCTATGTTCAATAAGGCTTTATTTATGGATGCTGGGATTTGGCTTTCATAGGATTTTTATGTGTCACAAGATATTCTTGTTTTAAGTCCATTTCCCTTAGTGATTTAAAAATGTAGAAAACATTCTTAGGTTTCAATCTGTACCAAAAAAAAAAAAAAAAGTAGGCAACAGGTCAGATTTGGCAAAGCAGTGGCTACAGTTTGCCAAGCCATGTGGTAGAATAAGGTTCCTTGGGCTAGACTGCCTGGGTATGAATTTTAGCTTTGCTGTATGACCTTTGTGAGGGGCTAGTTTTTCTGAGCTTCAGATTTCTAATATATAAAATGGCTAAGACAAGGCTTTGAGAATGTAAAAGGGTATACTCTACAGCTAGACTGCCTGGGCATGAATTTTAGCTTTGCTGTATGACCTTTGTGAGGGCCTAGTTTTTCTGAGCTTCAGATTTCTATTCAGATTTCTAATGTATAAAATGGCTAAGACAAGGCTTTGAGAATGTAAAAGGGTATACTCTACCACTTTGGAAAATAAGTTTGGTAATTATTGCAAGTAAGTACCAAATGTCAAATATGAGAATTACCATATGACCCAGCAAATCTATCCCAAAGTTTGTATCTGAGAGAAATGAGAATACATGTCCATGCAAAAACAAGCAGAAACTGGTAACAACCTGGAGTATCCTTCAACTGATGAGTGGTAGACAAGATGTAAAATCGCAAAAACAAGCAGAAACAACCTGGAGTATCCTTCAACTGATGAGTGGTAGACAAGATGTAAAATAGCATTGAATATTATTTACCTGTTTAAAAACTGGTAGCTAGGGAGTCGGGGGGCTGTAGTCTCAAGAGTCCAAGGCTAGCCTAAGCTACTTAATTTTTTTAAATCATTTATTTAACTTTTATGTGCATTGGTGTCACATCCCCTGGAACTGGAGTTATAGACAGTTGTGAGCTGCCATGTAGATGCTGGAAATAGAACCCGGGTCCATCTGGAAGAGCAAGCAGTACTCCTAACCACTGATCCATCTCTTCAGCACCCTAAGCTACTTACTGAGTTCAAGGGCAACCTGGACTGCATGAGGCCTTGTCTCAGGAAATAAGGAAATGAAGTATTGATGCAGGCTGTGACACGGATTTTGTTAAATAAAAGCAGCATCATATAAAAGACCATGGATTCCAAGATGGATAAGCTCTAGAACTGCTCAATCTATAGCCACAGAAAGTGGCTTGGTAGCTGTCAAGTCTGAGGGGTGGGCTAGGGTGAGTGAGGGTACCACTGCTAGTGGGCTTTAGGTGGTGGTTGGGACAGTACAAATGCCCTGGTGTTAGGTAGTGGCAGTTAGGAACCACGTTCAACTTGAACAAATACATTAAAACTGCACACGCCGAACACCACAGCGCATTCGTGCAAGGGTGAATTTTAAGTATGTTTCCACAGAAAAACAAGACACTGCTTCCTTCCCATGGATGCTGGTAGCACTACTGCAAGGGAAGCATGGGGTTCTCTGTCCCATTGTCGCAGGATCTGGTGGGGGACTTATGGCTTTGAGTCTTAGAGGCAACAGAGCAGGGCAGGCTTCTCATCTGTACATTGGAATCGCCATACTGGTGACATCCACAGAGTGGAGTTGAAGATGGAATGATGCCTGGTTCCCCTGGTCACATTTGGCCAGCACCAGCTCTGAGAGGTTGAGTCCTGGGGTGGGGGTGGGGGAGGTCCAGACTGACAAGCAGCACTGGATAGAAGCAGTTCATCCCTCAGGGTACCTCCTATTATACCACCAGCCTCCATAGTTCCCACCATGCTGAATGCCCATTGGGCCTGGATTGTTTGGAGATGCTGGAGTGGGCCTCTGAGGCCTTCACGTAGTGTGGGGACAGGCCAGGCACTCCCCCTTCTCTCTCTGAGCTTTAGGATGGGGTGTGTGACACTTTAGGTGACTGTGAGGATGAAAGGGAAGCGTGGATGTGTGACGCTTCCCAGTGCCTGCTGCATTTCCAGCACTCCTGTGCCTGTCAGTGTTTATGATAATGTATTTTGTAGAATGTTTATTTTGAAAGTCTGCTATTGCCAGGCTCTGTTCCAGTTACGGGGGAGATAGCAGAGAATTAAAAAGACAAAACTTGCCTTCGTGGAACTTACAGTGAAGTGGGCAGACAAACAAAATAAGCAGATAAATTATATTTAAGAACATGGTTGAGAAAACAAATCTGAGACTATGGTAGGGAGCTTAGGGAGTGGGGGAGGGGCTCCAGGGCTGTAGAACTTTTACTAACCAGGCAGGATGGTGCATGCCTGCAACCCCAGCACTCAGGAGGCTGGGGCAGGAGGATCAAAATCAGGGCCAGCCTCGGTTATATGATAAGCTGAGAGAGGAAGTATGGAGAGAGACAGAGACAGAGACAGAGATGGAGACAGGGAGGGAGGGAGGGAGGGAGGGAGGGAGAGAGTGAGGGAGGGAGAATGAGATAAAAACCAGAAGGAGAAAGGGAGCCATGCAGATTCCCAAGGGTAGTGAAAATAGCATCATACTAGGTAAGTGTGGCAAACACTGAAGATAGCAATGTGACTGGAGGGGAAGAAGTAGGAAGGATGAGTGGCAGGGACAGGTCTCTGGGGGCTTTGAGGATGGCTCTCCCTCTAGGACCTAGTAGGGCTTCCAGAAGAGGATAACTCCCCTGACCTAGGTTATGGTGACTTCTGCAGAACCAACCCCTCACTCTTCCCTGACTCACAACTCTGTGTTTTCTCCTGCAGTTCCAGCCAAGGGCCTCCATGGGCGCTTGAGGGCCAGGTGCCAGGGCCTTGGGCACGAGCATGGTGAGACACCAGCCCCTACAGTACTACGAGCCCCAACTCTGCCTCTCATGCCTCACGGGCATCTATGGCTGCCGCTGGAAGCGCTACCAACGCTCACATGATGACACCACACCGGTGAGCTTCCCTGGGATGGAGTCAGAGGCATCCAAAAGCCCACTGATGGGCTCTGGAGCTGAGGGACATCAGGGTTCAGTTGTTTCTGTGTGGTTCTGGACAGACCCATAGCCTTTCCAGAGTTCAGTTTCTTCTTCAGCAAAATTGGCATACAGTGATCTCTAAGGCCCCTGGCCAGGAGAGATGGACAGGAAGGAACTTGTCTGCATGGATGTAGATAGTTAGCTATTAACTGTCTTCTGGTAGTGGGGGCAGCCTGCTCCAGGGGCCTGGACAGGAAGGAGTTGGGAGTGATCCTAGAGAGTTCATCCAAGAGGAACAGAACTTCTCAGTTCCCACAGATCTGAAAGGCCAGATAGGGGTGTCAGGAGGGTGAGGAGGTGGGTCTGGCCATCTTGGAGCCTGGGAGTTGATGGGGCCATGGCCTGGCACCAGGGCCCAGTCACCTGAGTTGCTGGCTTGCCAGGCTTGGCAGCAGGTGCTAAGCTGGATAAAGAGGCCTCAGTGCTGGCTTCCTGGCCAGACCAAGCAGCACTCCTGTCCCTGGGGCGCTGTCAGCCTGTGGATCTGGTTTCTTCTCTAAAGGAACTCGATTCCTGTGTGGTGTTTATCTAAAAGCTTTGCTGCCTGGAGAACAGCTTTTCTCCTCCTTCATGCTTGTCTGAACAAAGAAGCTAGCCTCTGAATTCACCAGCCCCATACAGGCTGGAGGGTCAAGGGTACAGCAGCTGAGGTCGGAGGCTCAGCCAGGCTGTTGGGATGGGGATGGCAGGGTGCTTGTGTACCTGCCTGCCCTCCTCTGTTTATGCTGGAGAGGGAAGGAGTGCAAGACTGTGTCGGGAGCCTAGGGCCCCCATGAGAAGCATGGGCCACTAGAATGGACCCAGCAGCGAGAAGGAAACATGACTGAACAGAGAAAGGGAGAGGAAGAGGAAGGGACATGGCCAAGGCCACACAGTAGCCCTGGCAGTGCCAGGATGGAATCCATCTCCCGCTGTGGCCTCAGCCTGAGCTAGCATCCTGAGCACTACTTGGTGTAGCCATTCTCTTTTGGGTACACAGGATTTTTCTGCCCAAGAGAGACACAGACTAGAGCTGACAGACCAAGGGTCAGTAATGCCTCTTCCACAGTTGCCAGTGTCCGTAAGCTGTGTGTACCTGGGAGGGAGAGGTGGTAATTTACCCTCTCACGGGCCAACATATGAGACAGGGATGTTAGGCAACCAGCATGGTGCCACCTGTGAGAAGAAATGAGGACAAGTCATTCCAGATGCCAAGCCTCAGCTACTACAGCCTTGAGATGGGAAGGGATCAGATTAATGACATCAGGATTGTGGACCATCCATCCACTTTCTTCCATAGCTGTCTGCCCCATTCAGGCCTAGGGCAGGCAGCAGGCCTCTTTGACCTGACCTCCCTACAACTGATAACCTTTATGCTCTGTGAGTCAGTGCTGTACTGATGGGCTCCACTCCTGTTGCTCCTAGTGACCCAGGAGAAGCAGAAGCTAGGGACTGGAGCGAGATCATACAAATGGTAATAAGCAGACCTGGGGGTGGAAGGCAGCTGAGGCAATGGAGGGATGACCAAACTTCTGATGGAAAGGCCACTGGCCAGGCAGCCTTCCTGGGCCATGAGTCAGGAAGTAAAGGGGCTTGATTGTGACGAAAGAGGTAAAGAAAGTGTGCCACTGAGGCAGTGACTAGGAGCCTGGATGGTCCAAGCTGTGGGGACACCAGGGTCTGGGGTGCTGGGTATGGAACTGAGGCTGAAGGAGTAGCAGAGACCTCAATCCATTCTGTTTCTGCAGATGGCTGAGCTTACCTCAGGGGACCCCGAGTCAGCTGATGATGAGATGATGAGGCTCTGAGGCTCCCAGCCCGCTTCCTCTCCTTCTTGTGTGAAAATTCTTTCTCTCCTTCTCTCTTTTGTCCTGTCCCCTCCTGCCACAGATGGCCAGAATGGTGATGGGGCTAGGACTGTGGTCTCAAAGATGGCTGGTGCAGGCTAGGCATGGAATTCTGTTGGTAGAGAGCTTGCCTAGCATACAGGAAGCCCTGGGGTTGCTTCCCAGCACTGAATAAACCAGGCATGGAGGCACCTGGCTGGTGTGCATGAGCTCAGCACTCAGGAGTAGAAGCAGGAGGATCAGAAGTTCAAGGTCATTCTCAGCCACTCAGAGAGTTCCAAGCCAGCCTGAGTTACCTGAGGCCCTGTCTCAAAACAAAACAAAAGCAGCTGGTGTAGAACAGGGACTACATACAGTCTGCTGGACAAGTAGAGGTCACTGTTGGCTCTGGGGAGCAGGGAGGAGGCCTCTGGAAGGGGGTCTCCCCTCACCTATATCTCACCTGTGAAAGGCAAGGCAGTGAGCAGATGAGTCATGCCCCTCTCATCCTGGAGCTAGGATATAAGGCAGATAGATAGTCATGGAAAGAATTAATATTAGAGGCTGGAGAAATGGCTCAGAGGTTAAGAGCACTGGCTCTTAACCAGTTCTTGCAGAGGACCCTGGTTCAATTCCCAGCACCCACATAGCAGCTCACAACTATCTGTAACTCCAGTTCCAGTGGATCCAACACCCTCACACATACATGCAGGCAAACACCAATGCATGTAAAATAAATAATAATTGGTTAAAAAAAAAAGACTTAACATTATGGAGTACCTGCTGTATGCAGACAGTGAATGATTTACTACAGGTGAATGAGCAAATGAATATCCCTGCTGGCCACATTTAATCGCTCGCCCATTTTACAGAGGGAGAAATCCAGGCACAGAGCAGCTGTGTAGGAGGTCATAACAGGTCTGCAGCCATAGTGGCTGAAGGCTGGAGGCTGCAGAAAGATTGTTTGCACCAGTATATGGATAATGAGAGCTCAAGGAGAATGGGGGTCAGGAGCAGTCTCAGGAAGTTACTTGACTGAGGAGCAGGGTATAGGGTGAAGCAGGGTTGTTCTTTGATGGCTGGGATCCCCAGTGACAGTCTGGTCAGGCCAGACTGGCTCCCAAGCAGGCACTGGGGATGAGCAGGGTCACAGGGCTTGGCAAGAAAGCCCTCCATGAAGGCCACTCTTCTGCCCACTCCCAAGCCTTTGCTCACAGGCCACACCATATGGACACAGGAAGCTGGGAGCACAGAGATAGACTCACCTCTCCTGCTGCTGGCCAAGGGTGTGGAGCAGCTCGGCTGAGAGTACCTCACCCGACGGCAAGGAAGGGAAGCAGAGCTTTTTATAACTGGGGATAATTAATTGGCTGTTGTTTGTGACTCATTACTTTAATACTGCCAATTAAAGACTCAGTGAGACAGAGACTGTTCTCAAACTGGCCCTGGCCCTCCTTCCTCTGGCACCCCTCCCCCAAGTCCCTGAGTCCCCTGAAGGCAGCAGTGTCAAAACCAGCTTCCATACTGAGAGGGATTTGGGTCAGAGGCCTGGAGGAACTTCCTAGCTAGAAACCAAGGAATATGGTAATCAGCTGTCTTGCACGTCTGTGCTATACTTGCCTTTTAAAAGCTTTTATGACCTTAATTGATCCCTCCCAGCTTGTGGATGGAGCTCCAAAAAGAGTGATTTATTCAATCTGAGGGGCCATTGGCACAGCATGCACCCCTGCTCAGACCCCAGCCTGTATCTTCTCCGAAGTTCCACCTCCAATGAGCTAGGCTGGGCTGTGCTTATGTATGCAATCAACAAACCTATTCTGGCACATCCTCACGAATCACAGTTGTAGCTGACCTGGTTCTCTCCTCCCCTGAAAGGGAGCCCAGGCTGGAGAGGGCCGGGGGACAGTTATGAATAGACACCCAGATCACCCAGGGAAATCAAAGCCAGGTTCAGGGGATGCTGGGAGTGGGTGGTAAGTGTATGGGGCAGAGTATCTATTGCTACTGACTTGTGTTTGGGAGCTGAAAGTCATTGAGCTTCATCTGGGAAAGGGAAACATGCTCCCTGGGAGGCCTGAGGCTGCAGCAGTGCTGAACAGCCCAGGCTTTAGCCTTGGGTCAAGCTGTACAAAGGCCCCAGGGGTTACATTGTACACAATACTCTGAGAGCCCTTGAGAGAAAGGCCAGGGAGCCAGAAGGGAGTTTGGGGAGGTGACATGCCTGCA